AATTCAAAAGGGTTCATGGGTACCTTGCCTGTGTTACTCATTGTCCCCAAATACTGCAGGAGGTTCACTCTGGGTCCCATCCCATTACTGCCACCAATCAGTTAAAACAAAATTCATGCAAGTAAATCTGGAGATCTAATCAGCTTTATATGTGATTCATGAATCGGGCAGCGTCCTGTCTAGCAAGTAGAGAGATGCTCCAAAGGACTTAGGAAAGGAGTTTTTTTTTAAGGTGGGACAGAAAAATACCTGAAGAGAAAGGAGAAAGAAGGCAGAATAGGAGGTCACTGTGATAACCTCCTCCAATGCACACACTGAGAAACGACATCTGATACAACTGACTCTGAAAATGACCTGAAGACTGAAGAATAGACTATCTACACCTGGCAAAGAAGAGAAGCCCACACTGAGAAGGGTAAAGAGTCAGAGCTGTGACCAGTTAGGATCCAAGCCCTCCCTCCATCTCAGCCCACAAGCAAGAGGGAGAGGGACAGAATGAGGAGGAGACAAATGCTCGGGAACCTGGCACATCTCGCCCTGGGAATATGCTTTGGGAAGATGAGTCCCCACAGCACTGGGAACTGAAAGTTAAAGGGCCTGCACAGGAGAGTCAGAACGTTGTGGGGGGGCCAAGTCTTTCGTTGCTTTGTCAACCCCTCTGAGACCCAACATGAAGGAAGCAGTTTAAAGGATTCGCTAGCCTCGGGAAGTTGCTGGAGGGGCAGGGAACTGAGAGATGTCTCTCCAGATAAGAAAAGGTGGGTGGATGATGCTTTTCCAGTCCTCCCTCCGCCTAACTCGTCAGACCCTTGTGGAAGCCAGCTCTGAACCTCTCTACCTGCCCCTCTGGCTTAGCTCAGCATGTCCCTGCAGACCTGCCCCATCCAACATGCTCAGCCCCCTGGTAATTGGCCATTGCAGGCAGCCAGGCAGAGGGCAACCCTGCCCACAGCACATCCCAGCAGAAGTGTCAGCCATCACACAAAGGCATGGCAGTGGGGGTCCACCATTGTGGCAGACAAGCAGAGGGTGGTCCCCACCCACAGCTCACCAACAGCAGTCATGACTCGGCCACAAAGAGAACACCCCTGAAGCACCTAGCTCTGGTGAGCAGGGGCTTTTGTGCACCACAGGACACCTACAGCACAAATCCACTACTTTCAGAATAGGAGGCATAGCTAAATCTGTCTAATACAGAGGAAAAAACACTGAGAACCAGATAAAATGAGGAGGCAGGAGACTAAATTTCAAACAAAAGAACAAGACAAAATACCAGAAACAGTGCTAAATGAAATGGAGATAAGCAATCTACTTGAGAAAATTCAAAGTAATGACCATTGAGCTGAGGAAAAGAACGACCTCAGAGAGAACTTCATAGAAAATATGAAAAAGAACCAGTCAGAACTAGAGAATACAATAACCAAAATGAAAACTACAATAGAGGAAATTAATATGTACACTGGAGGCACAGAGCAGAGAGCTGGAAGACAGGGCGGTGGAATGTAATCACGCTGAGCAATAGAGAGAAGAAAGGATTTCTGAAAAAGAGAAGATGCTGAGTTCTGCAACGACTCCAAATGAAACAATATTCATATAATAGAGGTCTCAGAAGGAGAAGAGAGAGACAAAGGTGTAGAAAGTCTGTTGGAAGAAATAGTAGCTGAGAACTTCCTCAACCTAGGGAAGGAAGCAGACATTCGGATCCTGGAAGAACAGAGAGTCCCTGACAAGAGGAACCCAAGGACGTCCACGTCAGGGCACACAGTAATCAAAATGGCAAAGATTAGAGATAAAGAAAGAATCTTAAAACAGAATGAGAAAGGAAGACAGTTTCCTACAGGGGAAACCCCATAAGCAGATTTTTCAGCAGAAACTTTACAGGCCAAAGATTCAAAGTGCTGAAAGGGAAAAAAAAAAAATCTACAACCAAGAATACTCTACCCAGCAAGGCTTTCATTCAGACTGAAAGTGAGATTAAAAGTTTTCCAGATAAATTAAGGTTAAAATAACTCATTACCACTAAACCAGCCTCACAGGATATGTTAAAGGGACTTCTTTAGATGGAAATGTTTAAAACTTTTTTCCACCAGTGAAAATAAACCTACAGTAAAGATAGTAGATTAATCACTTACAAAGCAAGTATGAAGTTCAAAAGGCAAAAGTAGTAAAATCAACTATACACAAAATTAGTTGGGGGATACACACAATAAAAAGATATAAATTATGACATCATATACATAAAATGTGGAGGAGGGGTAAGAATTAAAAAGTAGTACTTTTAGAAAGTGTTTGAAATTAAGTGACCACCAACCAAATATAGGCTGTTATTTACAGAGGAAGCTATATATGAAACTTAGGGTAACCACAAACCTAAAGCCTCTAAAAGATACAAAAGAGAGAGAGAGAGAGAGAGAAAGAAATTCAAGCATAATACTAAAGAAAATCATCAAATCACAAGGGAAGAGAGCAAGAGAGAAAGAAAGGAACACAGAAGAACTAAAAAACAAAACAAAACAGAAAACAATAAATAAAATGGCAATAAGTATATAACCATCAATGATTACTTTAAATGTAAATGGACTAAATGCACCAATCAAAAGACATAGGTGGCTGAATGGATAAAGAAACAAGACCTATCTATACGCTGCCTAGAAGAGATTCATTTCAGACCTAAAGACACATATAGACTGACAGGGAAGGGATAGAAAAACATATCCCATGCAAATAAAAGAGAAAAAAAGCAGGATTACCTATGCTTACATGAGAAAAAATAGAGCTCAAAACAAAGCAATTTACAGGAGACAGAAAGGCACTACATAAGGATAAAGGGATCAGTCCAACAGGCGTATGTAACAATAGGTATTTATCACATCAAACTAAAAAGCTTCTGTGCAGCAAAGGACACTGTCAGCAGAACAAAAAGGCAACCTACAGTATGGAATAATATATTCATAAATAATTCATCCAATAAGGGGTTAACATCTAAAATAGATAAAGAATTCTTATGCCTCAACACCAAAAAAAAAAAAACACCCAAATAAAACATGAGTGGAGGACCGGAACACACATTTCTCCAAAGAAATATGTGTGGCCACTGAGCACATGAAAAGATGCTCCACATCACGACCCATCAGGGAAATGCAAATCAAAACCACAATGAGATTTTACGTTATACTGGTCAGAATGGCTGCTATTCAAAAGACAAGAAATAACAAGTATTGGCAAGAATGCAGAGAAAAGAGCACCCTTCTACACTGCCGATGGGAATGTGAGTCGGTACAACTGCTGCGGAAAGCAGTGTGGAGATTCCTCCAAAAACTAGAAATACCATATGACATAGCAATACTACTTCTGGGAGTTTATCTGAAGAAAGCAAAATCACTGACTCACAGGGATACATGCACCCTTATGTTCATTGCCACATTATTTACAACAGCCAAGATATGGAAGCAACCAAAGTGTCCATCAACAGATGAATCCATAAAGATGTGGTACATGTATATAATGGAATACCATTCTGCCATAAAAAAGAAGGAAATATTGCTATTTACAACAACATGCATTGATCTATAGGACATTATGCTAAGTGAAATAAGCCAGACAGCAAAAAATCAAAAGCCATTTGATTTCACCTATATATGGACTCTAAAAATCAAACAAAAGAAATAAACAAGCAAAACAGAAATAGACCATAGACACTGAGAAGAGACTGGTGGCTGCTGTGGGGAAGGGTTTAGGGATGGGTGGGTGTAAAAAGGCACAAAATCTCAATAATAATACAAATTAGTCACAGGGATGAAAGTACAGCATAGAGATATAGTCAATATTGTACCATCTTTCTATATTGATAGATAGTAACTACATTTATTAGGGTGAGCATTTAATAATGTAGTTAATGCTTGAATCAGTACCTTGTACACCTGAAGCTAATATAATATTGTATTTCAACTATACTTCAATAAAAAATTATAAAGACAGAGCAAGAAAGTCATAAACAGAAGGAAAAAAGGATTATTTTGTGTGAGGTCACCTTCATCTGGGAACAACAGGATCTTATTAGGTGGATTCCTTTGGCAGGTGGAAAGCACACTTGTGACCTTATCAATACTGACCGGAAAATTCCTGACTGGCTGCATTTCTGGGGGTCGAAACTGCAGTCAAGTTAGGTATTAGGCCCCAGTTTGGCGACTTGGAGTACCAGAAGTTGGGCCTCTTTTTAACAGTGGCAACCACCCAAACAGGCTCTCATGAGCCAGGTACATTGGTATTGTCTCATTCATAGTAACATAAAAATCAAACTATACCAGCTCAGATGGAAAAAAAATAAAGGAAAATAGCAACGGAACCATCGAGACTGTTCTGGAACCATTTTCATACATTAAGTATACGTTTCAGAATAAGTGAGAGATGAAGGCCTGAATCTCCTCTTTTCAGCATCAGTCTTGTGTCCCATTACACACCCATTAAGGAAATGTCTTGTTGACTGAGAATCTAGCGAGTCTGGAGTTGAAAGACAAGTTGTTGTCTGCAGTTTGTGTAACACTAAGGGAAAATGCAAGCCGACTGCTGTGTCTGGTTCCCTCCAACTAAAGGACATCTCTACGTTCTACCACCAGAGCAAAAATGGCTTTGCCCTATTTGTACAGAGCAAGTATGCTATGCAAACAAAGCGAGTTGAGGGGTCATTAAGGGAAACTTTCATGATATTAAAGGTTTGTCTTCTCCCCTATTTAATATTCAACAATTCACCCAAGGGCGGACCTCCTCTATAATGCATAGAAACTTTAAGTCAAGGGAGGCAGAGGACCCATAGGAGACATTATACAAAGGAGCTCATGATGCTAAGAGGAGCTTGTGGTCCGGCCAACAGCTTTTGATACTTTATTTTCTCTGCCGAACGGTTTCCAGGGTTTGGGTAGAGGAGAACCTAGCATTGAAGTCAAATAGATAAGGGCACGTGGATAAACTGTCCTGTTTTTTTTTTCTTTCTCTCTTTACAGGGGGCCTGGCCTCCGTTATCTACACAGACACCCTCCAGACAGTTATCATGCTGATAGGCTCCTTTATTCTCATGGGGTTTGGTAAGTGACGACAGCGTGAGCAGTGCCCCTGGGCCAGAACTCGAGGGGCTTGGGGCTGCTGGGGCGACTGCTCTTTCCCTCTGCCTCCCCGTTCTACCTGGTCACATTTTCCAATCATTTATATAATTCACATCATTGAAAAGTCTGCCTAATTTCTTTCTTTCTGTACTATCTCAGCATTTGGAAATGAGGGAGAACTTTAAACTTCCTTTAAAAAAAAATCATTGCTCAGGTAAATTATCTCATTTAATCTTAATGTATTTGTGTTTGGAATGGACAAAATCAGTTATTATTGGGTATAAAAATATCAGTGCATTGGATTCAATGCACAGAGACCATTTTTATAGAACTTTTATAAAATGAAGGATTAAATATTAAGAAAAACAGATAACTGAATATTAACTTCATGACAACTGTTTCAGATCGATATTACTAAAGTACATTACTTACCCTATTGTTAGAATATACAAACACAGGTTGGATTTTCCTTTATGACTCTTGCTTATTAGTTAAAAAGTTAATCAGTTAATAATTCATTCCAGCAAGCAGTAAAGAGGAATCTAATTTAAAGCTTGCTGATTTTTGTTTTCTTTTATTATGGTATTGGTTTATCTTTACACACAGAAAAGAGGATACGGGTGATAGTAAACATCTTTTCATCCTTGCCCTATCCGGCAGCCCCCACGTTCCACCCACTCAAGATGCACTGCACACAGTTCTGAATAGGCACACACCCAATCACAGAGCCTGAAAATGCATGAAGCAAAAATCGAAAGAACTGCAAAGACAACAAATCCCCAATGATACTTTGTGATTTTTGACTCAACATAGGTGCCACTAATCACATCTAGCTATTCAAATTTAAGTTAATTCAGATTAAAAATCCAGTTTCCCATTTGTCTAGCCATACTTCAAGTGCTCAGTAAATGGCTAGTGGTTTCCATATTGGGTAGCCCAGACACAGAACAGCTCCATCATCGCAGGAAGTTCTATTGCACGGTGCTGCTCCAGGGGCACCTGCTGGAAGCATTCCTTGTGCACTTTCTAGTTAGTTCCAGAACCTCCATGCTATGGCCCTTTCATGGGAGCTGGGGCTTATCGATGGCTGATTTTATTGGGCTTGAGCCCACCTTCAGGATCGCTTGTGGCCTGAATGGTTGTGAGACATCAGTTCAGCCTGTTGGTTAACAGTTTCATTTTTCCCATAACGCTAGACACTAAATCAAAAGCTTCAAGAGCACCATAGATGAAAAGTTAAATGGTATTTGCTGTGTGTACTTTATGAAATTAAATCTGATAGCACTGCCAGTGCCAGTGGAGACATTAGAAGGACATAAGATTTGGCCAGGGTGATTGGAGGTATGCGGGTACCTCCACCACAAAGGAGTAATTATGAACACCAGGTGTCTTAGATTTCTGTGAAACATTTCATTTTATCCAATGCCCTTTCAGCGTTTGCTGAAGTCGGAGGCTACGAGAGCTTTACAGAGAAGTACATGAATGCCATCCCGACCGTAGTCGAGGGGGACAACCTGACAATCAGCCCCAGATGCTACACCCCTCAGGCAGACTCCTTCCACATCTTCCGAGATGCTGTCACTGGGGATATTCCATGGCCAGGAATGATATTTGGGATGACCATCGTAGCTGTGTGGTACTGGTGCACAGATCAGGTAACGTGTATGGGGTGTGGGTGTAGGTGTGGGGGTGATGGTGTCAGGGTTTATGTTGTTCTTTTTCTTCTCATAGGAAAGCATCTATTTTCTATTTTGTACACACACACATCATTTAGAGAGTCACACACTTCTACAAGGCTTGTTATGAAAAATAGCTGTCTGGCATCCCATTCTCCACCCTATTTCTTGTCTCTCAAAAGCAAGTAATTCAGCTCCTTCAGTTACGTATTTTGGTATGTATTTCTATTCCTTAAATCTTTAACGTATGGTCTGTGACCACTGGCATAGATGTCACCTTGGAGCTCATTAGAAATAAATGCTCTCAGAATCTACCCACACTCATTCACTCAGAAGCTGCATGAAAACTGGATCCCCAAGTGATTCAAATAAATGCTTATATTGTTCCCTCTTGGTTTCCCAGTTTTAGGATTTTTCTATTGGCTTCCCATAATGAGAGAAGAGGATTTCACTCTTTCAGCTTCCCACCCTCAGTCCCACACACGTCCGCCTCCTATTCTCCATCCTCCCAATAGATCTAATTCACAATTTTCGTGAGATCAGCAGTCAGCGCTACCATTTTTGTGACTGCAGAAATAAAACTCGCAGATGAGCCATCAGAAATTCTGATTGATTTTTCTAGCTTTTTCTTTTCTCTAGAAAAAATTGTTCATAATTTTTTTCTTTCAAATTTCTTGGTAATCATTACTCATTAGACACCAAACCCTCTGCAAATTGCCTAACTCTCCTCTCAGTCCTTGCGAGCACATCAAGTATTCCACCAACTCTCCTCGTTTTCTCCCAGAGCCTTTGCCCTCACACGGCGTGTCAGGCAGCTCTGCTTGGCACCATCCTAACCCAGGACCCCTGCACTATCTTCTCTGGGATTCTCTTTTCCTCATTCTTGGGTCATCTCTCCCATTTCCACATCATCTTCTTTCTTGGTTTACTCCTTCTTCCGGGGCAACTGATTCTCCAGTAAGTTCCCCAGAAAGACAGGAGAAAAATTCATTGTGAATTTGCATTTTTGCATGCTTGACAATGTTTACATTCCATTAGATATTTTAAAATATTTAAAGTAGTTTCCTCTTTAAAGATCTAATTAATCAATATGTAAATAAATAAGGATTCTATGTAATTGAATTGATCTTCTGCTATGTACACATTGATAGGTTGGCAATAATTCTCCTAAAGTCACAGAAGAACCGTTGTCTTCTGACTTCCACCATTACTGTCGAGAAACCTGAAGTCATTCTTGGCCCTTCGGATGTGACCTGGCCTTTCGCCCTGGAAGCTTGTCTTTCCTTTGTCCTCGGTGTTCTGAAATTTCACCACAAACTATCATGAGATGTGGATCTATTTCTGTCCATAGTGACGGGCCACTGTGAGCTCATCTAATCTGGTGATGGATGTCTTGAATGATTTGGGAGGATTCTTTCTCTGATTCCTTCCATTTTTTTTCTTCCTTTTGGGACCGTCTATTTTTGGGGGTTGGTCTTCCTCAACTGGTTCTCTAGTGTTCCTATTTTGTCTCCCCATTTTGCATCTCTTGGTCTTTTGCCCTATTTTCTAGAGACTTCCTCAACTTCTTCCTCCAGTTTTTCTGCCTTTGAATTTGTAACACCCAAGATCTTATTTCTTGTCTTCTAGATTTTCCATCTGAGAGCATTTGAGTTTATTTCTCTTATGTTTTCTGAAATTTTTTTTTCACCCCACATAGTGTCTCTCGACTTAAACTTAAAATTTCACAATTTTAACTCATCTCAAGGCAATGGTTGCTTGTGATGTCGGTGTGGGATCAGTTTTCTTTTTCTCTATGAATTGATTTTCTCAACATATCTACTGAAGGGTACATCCTTTCACCGTTGATTTGCAGAACCATCTTTATTAATTATATCTTGCCTCTGACTACCTGGCTTACATCCCACAAAGGGCCTCATGCGGACTCTGAGCTCTGGTGCCCGACCCTGCTTGCCTGCTGACAGGGCCCCCCTCCTCACCTGTGATGTGTTTTGTTCCTCCAGTTCTCTCCTTCTAGCCTTCTGTCTGAAAATATTGCCTGCTTCCCTAGCACCAAATGACACTGCTGCCATCACTAACAGATTTATCTCTCCTAAGAGAATCAAGCAGAAAAGGACATCCCTTTTTTCTGACATTCCTTGAGAAGAAAAATGTCAAGAAGTTATGGCATTATGGGTAGAGATCCTACTTTGCTAGGAAATTCTTAGCCAAGGGATTGCACAACTTAAGTAGAAATTATGAAATCATATGAATTGATTTTTCCAAGATTATCATATTAGATTCATAACTTGATAAGGTCCTCAGAATATTCTGGAGAAATGCAGAGTTGAGTGTCTCAGGGCTCTGTTCTGATAGCTGCCTGACTCTGGTGCATCTGTGGCAATGGGCTTGGTTTCCCAAGGAGAGAGACTGATGACTGTGTGGCTTATTTAGCCTACAGTATTAAAGGCACAACTTAAACACAAACTCGTGACAAAGATTAGCAGTGACAGCTTTGTAACTAGTGGAGACACAGTCATTGCTGCAATGCAGCCTGGGAGCTGTAAACACATTTTAATGGTAGTGATGTGCATCGACCTCTATGGACCAAGAGTCTCACAGACATTATACCAAATACCCAGAATGCCCTACAAGAGATAGCCCTATTTAGAGATGAGAAACCTGAGACTCACAGAAGTCAAATACTCATGTGAGAGCAGCAGGGACTCAAGTTCTGATTTTACTCTGAAGCCCATTATTTTCCCCTAGTCGTGGCCCCATTTCTTATTGTAATGTTCATTAATCCCTGAAAAGAGACACTACCCCTTTTTTGAAGTCACCCTCTGATGGTTTCGTGACTATGTCATATTCCTGGCAGGTCATCGTGCAGCGCTGCCTGTCGGGCAAGGACATGTCTCACGTGAAGGCCGCCTGCATCATGTGTGGGTACCTGAAGCTGCTGCCCATGTTCCTCATGGTGATGCCAGGCATGATCAGCCGCGTCCTGTACACAGGCAGGTCATGAGACCGTAAACCCTACTTTCTTGTGCTTGAATTCTGAGTAATGGTTTCAAGATGTATTAAAACCTTGATAAACTAGAAAATCTATTATGTATGGAAGTAAAACTCCAGGTGGACAGCTTGTGCAGAGGGTCAGAAGCAGGGAAATTGGGCACATCTGATAGTCTGGTCCCTTATTTCTTTTGTCCTGCATGCCTGTCTCCTTGTAGGCGTCTGAGTGTGTGAATCCTGTTTTCATGAGTGGCTTGGACTTAAGCAAGTCCAGAGGGTAATGCAGGAGGATGAGGTGGAACTGGGAAAACATGAGTTAGGGGAGCTGAGCCCAGGACATCTGGGGACGCACTGTCCCTTCCTGGTCCCTCCACTGGGCGCATGAACTACACTGACGTCCACTGCTCTGGAATTAGGTTGTTTGGGGCACTTTAATTTCTGAGTCAGCTGAGAGTAACTACTAGTGTTGAACATCTTCCTTAAAAATCAACTTTCTTTATTGTGAAGAGTGAAGGAAAGAGAAGCAAATATTTATTGGCTAATCAAGGCCTCTGGTTTTTCTTGGGGCACTCCATCAGGTGACACTGAATCCACTTCAGATACTCTCAACTGGGCATCAGTTTGTTTAGCTGAAATCTTAAGATAAACATCAAGGGACCAACATCACTTCTCATTGCAACACTGCAATGTTGTTTATAACATTAAAGAATGTACAGATATCCAACAAGTGTGGAACGGCCAAGGAAGTTACTGTATACCCTCTTTACGGAAAATTAGACACGAGACTGAAAACTGTCTCAAAACTTGGGGAAATGCTGAAGTTAAGGTATTGCATGTAAAAAGCAGACTGCAAAGACTATTATCTCAATGCTTATCTCAACAATTAACAAAAATATTATCTTAACAAGAAATGTTATGAGAAAGACATTTCTCTGTGGAAAAGGACTTAAAAGGAAAAAATAAAAGAAGCTAGTGTGCTAAGTTGTTAATGTTTTGGGTGATTTTTTAAAATCACATTTTGCTACCTGTTGTCATGTTGTTTAAGTAAAAATTCTCCAGAGTGTTGTGCCCCTGCCACAGTGAGATGAGCCACCATCCCACCTGGGGCAGTCACCCCAGCTGTCGCAGGTGACACCTCTTCTTAGATGCAGGCGGAAAACCCTGGGCTGGGCGGCTGGACACAGGACTCCCATCCTGGGCGTTGTTTCTGTCGTTTTATCCCAGAGGTTCTGTGCTCCTGGAGGATTTATGCTCTTGCAGCTTTCTGAGGATACGTCAGCTCTCTCCCCTCTAGCGGGACCACATCCCAGAGCAGAGCCCTGCCCCCTGGGTCAGTGAAAGGCAACCTGCAGGCATGAGGCACTGAGGACGTCATGTTCTGGGCAGAGAGACCAGGTCCTTGGGATGGAGCTCAGAGCTGGATCTCCGGTTTCCAGGCGAATGTCTTTCCTCTCACCAGTGACCTTACAGCTTGTCTCAGTGGTTGTATACTGACCTGTTTGGGCTTCACTCACTGAACCCACTTACCTGAATCCCTCCGCAGAGAAGGTGGCCTGCGTCGTGCCTTCTGAATGTGTGAAACACTGTGGCACTGAAGTCGGCTGCACTAACTATGCCTACCCAATGCTGGTGATGGACCTGATGCCTGATGGTAAGAAAATGTCCACACTCAGCTGAGTGGATAAAGAAAATGTGATTAGATAGATAGATAGATAATTGATAAATAGATGATAGATAGATGATTGATAATTGATTGATTGGTAATTTATAGATAGGTGATAGATAAATGGTAGATAGATATACAGATATAGGTATAGATAACAGAACAATCTTCAGCCTTAAAAAGAATGAAACCCTGCCATTCTTGTTGACAATGGAACCTGGAGGACTATGTTAAGTGAAATAAGCCACACACAGACACAAATATTGCAGATGTCACTTTTGTGTGGAATCTGAAGAAGACGAACTCCTAAAAGCAGAGAGTAGACTGGTGGGTGCCAGGGGCTGGGGAGAGGGTGAGGAATGGGAAACTGTTGGTTCAAGGGTATAAACTTCCAGTTAGAAGATGAATTAAGTTCTGGAGGCCTAATGTACCGCGTGGAGGCTAGAGTGAATAATGATGCATTGTATACTTGAGATCTGCTAAGAGAGTAGATCTCAAGTATTCTCACCACAAAACAAGAAAATGGTAACTATGTGAGATGATTGATATGTTAATTAGCTTGATTGTGGTAATCATTTTGCAGTGTATATGTGTATTAAAACATCACATTGTACATCTTAAATATACACAATTATTTTTTGTCAGTCATACCTTACTAAAGCTGGGAAAAATTTGTTCATGCTGGGACTGCTTCAGAGGCGTGGTCCACACCAAAGCCATGAAGCAGGGTTCTAGTATAATCTTTACTTCCATTAATTCAGTTGTCTTTATTGAACACTTCTTGGGCACCTTCCTTAGGCTACCAGCCCTGCCTTGAGCCTGGGGAATCCAGAGATGAAACAGATATAATTCCTATTAGAATAATCCTTACTCCTTTGGATTCAACAGTTTTCCAAGGCAATCAAGAGCATTTAAATGAAGGATTTGTCAATGAAAGAGCTGCATAGCCATAAACTTAAACACTCAGAGGACTAGAGGATAACTATCCTGCTTTCTTTAGACCAGTGGTACCTAAATAATAGATCTGAATCTATTTAACTTACAACTATTTATTGAGTACCTACTGTGTTTCAGACACTGCCCTAGTGCTTAGAAAACAACAGTGAAGTAGGCACAAAATATCCCCTATCCCTTGGAACTCACATTTTCATCTCATGAGATAGACAATAAACCACAGATATGAAATAAGTAAATCATTAGGATGCTAGAAGGTGATCTGCAGTGATCGGGAGCAGCAGGTATGGGGCTCAGGAGCAACCAGGGCGTCTTCAGGCCCATCAAAGGTCAGCTAACACTTCTGTGACCTTCTCCCTGACACATATAAGCACTGTCAGCAGGAACGCGGCGTGACCTGCAGGTGACATTACTATCCACCCCATTCCACACTTTGTCCTAGAAGGTTTAGCGGCGTTACTAATGGGCAAAGGGAACTGGTTGATGAAGTTTCCATAGATATCAAAATTCTTTGCTTGGCCCACAAGAAACTTCAACAGGACCACCAGAACCAGTTTTTCCTCTCCAGTTCTCTTGACCTCACAAAGCCAAGAGTCCCCCATCAAAGATGGTACAACACTGTTTGCTTTCTTCCAAATTTACCTTCCAGCAAATGATCTCTGAATTCATATGTAGAACTAAAATTCTATACTGGATTATTCTCAAGTCACCAGGAAGTATATAGGAAATGCCACATGATGACATGTATTGACAGCCACATCAGTTAGTAAATGTTCCAAGTGACACTTCTACCTATGAATATCTTTGAACGACTCTCCAGTTTGGCAAGACCCTAGCAGATCATGGACTCCGGTCCCTAACCAGTGCCTGCACCCACTTTTGGCTCCAGGACTGCGAGGCCTGATGCTGTCAGTCATGTTAGCCTCTCTCATGAGCTCCATGACCTCCATCTTCAACAGCGCCAGCACCCTCTTCACTATGGACCTCTACACCAAGATTAGGAGGCAGGCATCCGAGAAAGAGCTCCTCATAGCTGGACGGTGAGAGAATCCTGGTTTCTGTCTAAAATTTCTCTGGAGAAGTGCAGACATAGAAGTAAATTAGAACCTCCTCATCTTTGGGTTCAGTGAAACTAATCACAGAGTTCTAGACTGGGGAAGGGACTTGAGGGGGATATTTAATCCATTTTATCTCTTTCCAGATACAAAACTTGGGACCATACTTTTAAATGAAAGAGTTGCTTTTTCAGACATTTAAGTGCCTCTTATTGTCTCATTTCTTCTCCTCACATGCTCTCCCAACCACCTCTTCATGAAACTCCAAAAAACGCTCAGTGTTTTTCATAGGGCATGAAATTCCCACCTAGTCTGATAGGTTAACGTGTCTGTCTCTAGGTGTTTCCATGTGACCCACACACTACTGCAGAGTAGTTTATCAACTGCATTCATTAAGAAATGGAATGTCAAGAGAAACTGACCACCTGTTCAAAGTTGAGGATACTAGCTATTGCTTTAGTAAATTAAGCAGTTGGTCGGAAAATTCCAAGGGCTTACTTGGTCTAGATCTTGACTCCAGACGTGCTAAAGGTGAGGAAAAACAGTAAGTCATCTGTGTTTCTGTGGTGGAGAAAGTGCTGGGCAAGAACACAGTAGGTCTAAGATGCAGTGTCCACCAATAGGTGTATGATCTTGGGTACGAATCCCCTTTAAGTCTCAATGATAAATTCATGAGCTTTCTTTGCCTCTCTTTCTTATTAAATGCCAACTATCTCCTAGAGTACAAATATGAAGAAAGGGACACACGTGTGAAAAATAATTTCCTGCTTTGCAGGATTTATGCCTTTGTGTGGAAGATAGACAACTAATACATATATTCTATATCTGATGATAAAAAATACTGGGAAGGAAAAAGCAGGATTAAAGGACAGCAGCTACTTAAGACGCGCATAGGGAGCCCTCCCTGAGGACGTGGTGTCTGAGCAGAGCCCTGAGGGAGGCGTGGGGGTGATGGCCCCGTGGTTCTGGGATGTATGTTCTTACAACAGTCAGTCTGTGTGGTGTGTTTGAGGACAGCAAAGGGTGAGCTTGGCACATGCAGAGCAAGTAGGCAAATGATAAGAAACAAGGTCAGAAAAGCAGCTGGAGGTGAAATCATGCAGGGCCACTTAAGCTGTAACAAGACTTTGGATTTTACTCCACATGTGACAGAAAACTGAAGATAAGAGAGCAAGGGACACACCTGATCTGCTCTCCGGTGGTGACAAGGATAGAACAAGTGGGTGGTGATGGTTGCATCCTAACTGTGTTCTGGGCACCGTGCTTTGGGTTTTGGTGGGTTCTCACATTTCATCACTGCAAGGTTTCCGAAGTTTAGTAAAGCTTCAGTCAGATGCTTGTGTCTCAGGCTCCTGCCCAAAGGCTTACCCCCCAACTTCTCCCTTGTGGTCACAGAGAAGTGATGACCTCGTGCAGACAGCCCCGTAAATTATGTCTGTGTGTTTATTCACACAGCAAACACAGAATGATGCAGACTTCTGAAAAGTAAATCAGTCATGCTCCACGGACTCCGGGAGCCTCTATTAAATAGGTTTGTACCACTGACCAATATTTTAACCAATTCTTTCTACCTGCCAAAGTGCTTAAGTAGTAAAATCCACAAATTAGTATGTCTGGCCAGTTCACTCGATGTTCTAGGACAGAGGTATTTTAATTCTAACTTATGCAACTGACTTAGTTTGTCTGGAGCTAGGAATAAAGACCAAAATGGGAATCTGCTCTATCATACAAATACTTATTAATAGAAATAGTGAGGTTTTTTTCTGATATATTGCACAAATTGCATCACCGAATTATAATCAGTTGCTGACATTTGAACTGTCTTGGGAATTAGATATTCAATCTCCTAGTTGAAGCTATTATGACTAATTACAGACAAGCAATTGCTTCATCAGTATTTTAATAATGGATAATCATTAAGCATGGCATGGTTTCATGTGAGGTCAAGGAGCTAGATTTTATTTGGAAAATCAATAAAAGCCACAGGAATGAACTCAAGACCTAAAGCACGATGGAAGTACCAATAATGCTTTTGTTTAATATTTAAATCATTTTTGTTTCCTCCCCAGGCTATTTATTGTTCTGATGATTGTCATCAGCATTTTGTGGGTCCCATTAGTACAGGTATCTCAAAATGGACAACTGTTCCATTACATAGAATCGATTTCTAGCTACCTCGGGCCTCCGATCGCGGCCGTCTTCCTGCTTGCCATCTTCTGTAAAAGAGTCAATGAACAGGTAAGTGAAAGTCAGGAAACTTTTTCCCTGTTGGAGCAAGAAAAATTTATTTCTTTCACTGGTAGAAAAACGTATTCTTTCCACTCTGTTTATACAACTCAAGGCCCACCTCAATTTCAGTTGTGGTCAGCTATGATTCCTGCCCTAATGCATGTAAATATATAGAGCATACAGCACAGGACTTACATTTCTTACAAAATACTATGTATATACATGGCAGAGTGCTGGGGAATGCAGCTTTTTGAGAAAGACTGTCATGGTCCAGTCCTGGATCTTCCATTTAATCTTATTGTGATCGTAAGCAAACCGTTTGGGTGTAAAATGAAGATAATCACAGTGCCTATGTGCTTCATAGAATTGCTGCAAGAATTCAGAGATTTTTTTTAAGTGTTGAAGTGCTTAGAAGATAACCTACCACACTAGTAATTGTTCACTACATTTCAACAGAAATGTTAATTTCTATTATGATATATATAAATGATTGATTATTATGGAGCATGTACATTTAATCCCTCAATTATTCCCAGAGGTGAGCCTTATTTTAATTTTCAGACAAGGAACAGGTGCAGAGAAGTTAATATCTTTGTGCTTTCCACACGTTACTTAATATTAGCTGGGATCTTGGGATTCAGACCCAGGTCCTCTTCCATCCCAAATTCATTCTCTGAATCTCTATGCACTGTTGCACCTAAACAGAGCATCTTGACCAAGGGAACATGGACGTGTGTTTCCACCCCCACAAACTTTGCAGAGAAAATAAATGCTCTTTATTGTCCAAAGGTTAGTAGAACTATCATAGCTATCTAATATCAACTCTGCAAATAATGTGACATAGGTCATAGTTCTGTTTAAAAACAAAATATATATTTAAATATTGATATAAATATAAATAAACCACAAGTTTTAAATCTATAGATAAAATAAAAGCCAAGGTAAACTTCAGCTTGGGTCAGAGTAGACACGAGTGTCCTGGAATTGGAGAATCAACAGCGCAAGGATATGTCAGGACCACGGAGAGCAGCCGCCCGGGGTAAACACTCGCATTTAAACATCTCCCTTGCTTTGGTGACCTTGTCCCCAAGTTAACCGTTTGTTGGTTCTTACTGGAGAAAGCAGGAAAGATGATAATTATGACTTACTTGAAGGCGCTTGTCTTCTTTTCTAAATGCCCTGATTTTGTTCTTATTTCGTTTTCAGGGAGCCTTCTGGGGTCTAATCACCGGACTTGTGATCGGCCTCATCCGCATGATTGCAGAGTTTGCCTACGGAACAGGGAGCTGCCTCACGGCCACTAACTGTCCCAAGATCATCTGTGGGGTGCACTACCTGTACTTTGCCATCATCCTCTTTTTTGTCTCCATACTAGTCGTCCTGGGAATTTCCCTGTTAACAAAGCCCATTCCCGATGTACACGTGAGTAATTAATAGTAGATGTATGCTCATTTTTAATTATAGTTCTTTGCCTTCTAACGTTTTAACTGGTGTACAAGTCCCAGGCCGCAGAATCACAGCATCGTTAGAGCCTGGAGCCTGAGAGATCACCATCCGGTCATCCCACTAAACACACATTCGCACCTGATATGTGCAAAGCACCAGTGAATTAAGAAATAGGGGGTTAGGAAATGGGCTTCACCCTCAAAAAACTTCACTAAGCATTTGGAAGGTAAATCTATACTGTCGTTATAGGACACCACGAAGAGAGTAATTAATGCTGCCTAAGAGACAGGGAAAGACTTCACAGCAAAGCTGTCATCTGGCCTGGGACTGTTTGGGGCCAAGTAGAATTGCATATACAGCACAAACACATGATTTTTTTAAAAAGGTACATGGTACTGGGGGGCAGTGAAAAGAAAAGTATAACAATGAGGTTCATTTTTTGCCTTTCAAATTGGCAAAAAGTTTTTTTATTAATATGCCCAATGTTGGTGAGAAACTGGGGAATGCCAGTCTCCAAAACTGTTGGTAAGTATATGAATTTTATAATTTGTAAGAGGGCAAAAATTAGGCAGCATTTATCAGTTTTAAAATTCTTAGTTTAAATTAAATTTTAAAATTCTCTTTGATTCTCTATGAATCAGCAATTCCATTTCTAGAAGCTTATTATGTGGCAATACTTGTAGGGGCAGGAAAATTATATGTATAGAGATTTTCTTTGCAAGTGGTTTCTAAGAGAAAAAATGAAGACAACCCCAATTTCCACTGTTAGTAGAGCAGGTACACAATAATAGTATATTGAATATTATGTGGCTTTTCAAGAACCCAAGGGGATTTATTACTTGCTTTTTTAAATGTCCATGATATGGTTAAGTGGAAAAAAACACTTGAACAATAATATATTGTAGAATACATACACTCTTTGAAAATAAAATCCATGTAAATATACATATGTGTAAGCATAGAAAAAGAAATCTTAAATCATATACACCATAAACTTTCAATAAGAGGTTAACTCTGAGGGAGGAACTATAGAGGAACAGCAATTATTAGTCATTTTTTAAATTTAAATATTGCTTATGTACTAATATTGCTTGAATTGATTATTAATATGTATAATTTTATTTATTTTGCATTTATCACTCAATCTTTGAAGCCATACTTATTTGCATATTTCCTTGAAGGTGGCAAATAGATTATGTGTAGACAGGGATCACAGATTTCCACTACAGGTTTCCACTGAATATTGAGGGTTGAATGAAAGAACACTAGAAAACACATCATAGTTTATATACATGTAAATGTTAAACTCTTCTATGCAAATAAAAATAGCCATAATTTATTATTAAATTTTAGGAAAAAGGTTTGTCTGAAGGACTGAGACCATTTATATAATTTATGTTTATGTTTCATTAATATATACTGAAGTTTTACTTTTCAAAATGGACTGAGCAAAGTCAATAATCATTTCAGAGAAAGTCATGAACAGAGTGGACCTCATCTAACAGTGCAGTCAAGAGAAATCCCAGGATGATAGTTTTTTGGCAAAACCAGAAAGTACCTGGTCCAAGTTAGAGCAGGAATTCAAGGAGCTCCAGAAATAGTTTTAACAAAGAAAATGGATTTAGTATAAGAAATGTTGTAAGAACCTTGTGAGGCTATAATTAGGAAGCGTATGCTTGCTACATCAACAACAAATAAGAAAGCCAATTATAAATACTAGTAAATCTGTACAAGAAAGTCATGGGCCAAATATGAGGCCAATTAAAATGAAGCACGGCTTTGAGCATACGACAGATTATAATTTTAACAACCCTAATGCTTGCTCATCAGAACGATCTAGATCTGGTATTTGTTCGTTGTGTCCAATCATATGTCTGGGATGGATGACACACACGAAAAAGTCACATAGTAGCACAAATGCTATTTATTTTCAAAGTTGCTAATCACGATGCAGANTTTGGAGCCGGGCTGGGAAATGAATGCACAGGGGTATGAATTGCTGTGGAACTCAGCAACAGCACATCGGTACTATCTGAACATGGTGGATCCAGAAATAGCTCAAGAAGATATTTTAAAAGTTTTAAAAGTAAACACTAGATAATCTGAGAGTAATAATGATGTAGCTAATTACAGTTGAATGATAAGAACAATGAGTGAAGGCAGCGTATAGTGTAAGTTAGAGAAATCTTTGACTTTTATGAAATTATAAATCCAGAAGGAGTTTTAAACATATTATTTTAAAAGTTCTTAATAACTACCAGAAGATTTAAAAACAGAACTAATTTAAAATGTTCAGTGTGTTTTCACGAACTAGCATGGAAAAAGACTTTTTCTTTCTTCTTTGCGTTGAAAGACTTTCTGGTGTGGTTTTGTGAGTTAGTGTGGCAAAAGCCTTTTTTTGTGCTGTTTGATTTTTTTTTACTGTACAATAAACAAATATACCATTGTTTTGTGGTAAACATCACTAATATATTTGCCTGCGGTCCCCTGGGCAGCTGTACCGCCTATGCTGGGCTCTTCGGAACAGTACAGAGGAACGGATCGATTTAGATGCAGAAGAGAAAAGAGAGGAAGAGGCTGATGTTCTCGATGCAGGTAACGCCTGGTGTACATCTGGTTTTTGTATAGAAACTCTGTGTTCCTGAACTGGTTATGCTTGGTTCTTTAAAGGCCGCTAAATTCAGTTTCTGAAAAAGCTGTTAGATTCATGGCGAACTGAAATTTTAAAATCTTACCTTCCCAACAACCAAGACGATTTGTTAAATATGAAATGTTCCCATTCATCTGCCTGTCCGTCAGTCTCTCTGCCCTTCCGTCCACCATCCATCCGTGGATCTGTGTGTCAGCTCTGACGTGAAATCGTTCCAGTCTCTCCTAATCCTAGTCACATATTAAGTGTCAACAAATCAATCTTGATTGTGATTAAGCAGCTAGCACCAAGTTCTTCTCCAATCTTATTTCTCACTATTCTTTCAAATAAACCCTCCATTCCAGCCAGGCAGATTTCTTCACTTTTCCCCCCATGTACCAAGCTCCCTGGAATATTTCTACCTCCTCTCCAGAAGAAAAAAAAATGCCTAGTCTTTGAAGCTCCGTCCCCAATCTCTTTTCCTTGATGAAAACTTCTCCAGCAGCCATCCCCATCTTTACCTGATATTTTAAGACCATCGACAAAGTTCAGCACACAGGATATGTTGCCTTTAACTGTGCAGGAATGGTTTCCTTTGATTTGGTTTGGATTCTTGAAGGAGGATCAATGCCTTCTACCCCTCTGGTGTTTTTTTAATCAATGTTCCTCAGTAAGACTGGCCTATAATTTTCATTTTTCATACTTAGCCTTTGTCTGGTTTGGGTATTAAAATCATAGTATTTCTCATAGAATGTAGCCCCTTTTTTCAATTTTATGGAAATATTTCCATAAGATTGGAATGATATCTGCATCAAAATTTTGGTATTTTACCAATAATACCATTAGGGCCTGTTGAATGTATGTGTGAGAGAGAGAGAGAGAGACAAAGAAAGAAGCATTAAATAAATTATTAAATTTATATAATGCCTATAGAATTATTTGGAGTTTCCATTTCTTCATTGAGTTTAGAAAAATTATGTATTTCTAGGATTGTGTCCATTTAGTACACATTTTAAATATACTGACATTAAGTTATTCATAATATCTACTTACTGTCTTTTCTATCTCTACTACCCTCTGCAGTTATGTGTTGCCTTTAATTCCTAATATTTTTTTATTTCTTTTTTTTTGATAAATCTCACTAACGACTTGTCTATTTTACTATTCCTAAATATTACTTTCTGTTCTCATTTGTATATCCTTCCATTTATGTTATTTGGGTTTATTCTGTTCTTACTTTTCCTAACTTAAATGGAGTATTACTTGATTAATTTTCAGGCTCTCTTCTTTTCTAATATAAATAATAAAGGCTACACATTTCCTTCAAAGTAATGCTTTTGCTGCATCTCACAGCTTTTAATTTGTAGAACTTTCTCTACCATTTATTTGTAAGTATGGTCTTACTTTCATTGTGGTTTTTCATAGACATTTGAGTTTAGAAGTATGTTTTAAATTTTCTAATGCAGCAAAAAATAGACTTGTCCTTAAGGCTTTTGTGTTTTTGCCATTATACCTTGGGATAGATTTTGAGACATTTACAGTTTTGCTACACACGGCCAAGTTCCCCTCCGTGGGAGTTAAGCCAGGCTTCCCCAGCAACAACACGTGAGAGTACCTGCTTCCACACAGACTCACCAATAAAGTATATTGTGAAACTTTTGACTTTTTGCCACATATATAATTCTGATAAAAATTTTAAATTTGTATTCCAAAAAGGATTCACCAATTTATCTTCTAACCATCAGTGTATGAAAGTTCTTATTTATGCACCTCTTCAACTACAGAGTATATTATCAATCTTAATTTGTTATTGTCAATACTCATACTGATATATGAGTAGTATCTTGGTGTAGTTTTAATCTAAATTTTTTTTTTTGAGTGAATGAGTTAAGAACTGTCTTTTTTCTTGAACTGTTTATTCTTTTCTCTAGGATGTTTACATGGGGTTGTTGGTAGTTTTCTCTTCTCTGTATATTAAGGATATTCAACCCTTTGTGATAGAAGATGCCAATGTTTCCCCAGTCTGTCACTTGTTTCTACAGTGTTTATTGGACTTTATGCCACGGAAACGTTTTCGATTTTTTATACAACCAGAGTTACCTGTATTTTCTCAGGGATTCTTGTAACACTCAAAGTGGTGGTGATCATTCACATGGACAGAGGAGTTTTATTTCCCACCTTTTGTGATCATTTGTTTATCTTTCTTTGTTTCAGATGATCCCGAGAAAACTCGGGGATGTCTCGGGAAGGCTTACGACTTATTCTGCGGTTTGCAGCGGAAGGGCCCCAAGCTGAGCAAAGAGGAGGAGGACGTGCGGAGGAAGGAGCTGACGGACACCTCCGAGGGGCCGCTGCGGAAGGCGGTGGTGGACGTCAACGCCGTGGTCCTCCTGACGGTGGCCATCTTCATCCACGGCTATTTTGCCTGAACTCTGAGCCACTAAAATATTTATTAAGCAAAGGATAATTTTATTGATTTTTCACTTCTAAAAGTGAAAACTTTGTTGTGTTGCAAAAGAGAGGTGACAGTGGTGATTTTATTGAATGAGATGACTAAGGGTCTGACTGTGGACCTTGTTGTTTCTTTGTGTCAATCAGGAAAGAGAAAGAGTCGATAACTTGGAGAGCCGGTGAGCTGATCTGTGTGCACGCGTGCAACCCAGGAGCACTGGATCTCAGTTACTTTTCTATACATAGCTCACTAGGCAGACTGCCCGACCTCACATTGCTTTCTGCTATTTCCAGAGGTTTCCACTTGGAAGGAAGGCCCCTCCCAACTCTGCCTCGCACAGTAACTCCTTGTCTGTAAAACAGTGAACTCCCAGCTTCACCTCACGGATCTCAAAGATTTGAAAAATAGAAATATTTCCTAATAGTTGAGGGGAGGTGAACTGGAAGTGCCTATTGTAAGTATTTTATGAATTTACTGAAATTATTAGCTTATGTCTTAAGTAAACCCATCCCCCACTAAATGTTAGCATATCAAGCCATTGATTTTTTTAAGCCACTTTATTAAAATATAATTCACATACCAGAAAATGCCTTTATTTAAAGTGTACAATTCAGTGTATTTTAGAATATTCACAGTTGTGGAACTATTACCACAATCTACTTAAATATTATCATTAATTTATCTATGGGCATTGTAACGATGCCCATAGATAAATTAATGTTAATATTTTATCTTTATTCCTGTTTCTCTGGCTGGCATTCTGAATAACAATTATCTCTATGTGTGATTACAGCTAGGTTTAAAACACATCTTTCCAGAAGCAAACCTATGAATTAAAATGGCTTTAGTAAATTACATAAGAAACACCTATCATATTGTTATAAAAATTCAAACAATACTTTGGTCTATAGAATTAAATAAAATATTAAATGAAATACACTTCACTGACTATCCCTCCTATCTACTCTACTAACTAACTTTCGAGAGGAATAATTGAGAACAGTTTAAAGCCTATGTTAAAGTAATTTTTCTATTCACATGTATATATGTAGGAACATACACATATTTTTACATAAGGAATCTTACTTTATGTGTTGTTCTCTGACTAGCTTTTCATATAAAATTTATCTTGGAGATCATTGTCTGTTAGTATATATAGGTATCCTCCATCTTTTTAATAGCTGCACACTATTCTGTAAAATCATTTGCCATACTTTTACCATTTTTCTACTGAGAAACATTCATGTTGGTTTCAATTATTTGCTGCTTTCAGTGATACTCAACCGGACAAACCTATATATTCATCTTTTGCACATTAGTCAACTTTGTTTTCTTTAATGATTGTTTCTAGAAATACTGGGGCAAGAGGTAAGAGCGTTTAATATTCTGATAAAAATTTTAAATTTGTATTCCAAAAAGGATTCACCAATTTATCTTCTAACCATCAGTGTATGAAGGTTCTTATTTATGCACCTCTTCAACTACAGAGTATATTATCAATCTTAATTCGTTATTGTCAATTTTATAATTAAAAATAATTTCATTTTTAAAATGTGTTTCTCCACTTATTGGTGAGGTTGTATGTATTTACATATATTTATTAGCTATTTGTATTTTTTCCTTATGTGAATTTCTTGATATATTTTACCAACTTTCTAAGTCATTTAGAGATATTCTGTAGATAATCTATATATATTATTATTTGCATATGAATCACAAATATTTTTTCTTGAAGTCGTCCTGCCTTTTAACTTTATGTTGTCCTTTTGTATGGAAGCTTTCATTTTTATTTAGTCAAATCATTTCATCTTTTCCTTGTCGTTTATGGATTTTGTGACTTACTCTCAATGGTTTATCCTTTCGAATTTTTGTTGTCATTATTTTGTTATGTTTTGTCTTTAGAAATATGATCAAATCTGACATTATTTTGCAATGTACTTTTCTCCTGTTATAGTACATGATGGACGTCATGAAACCAAACTAATGTAGATCACTTGAATTCATTTTAATTTTTGCCTAATGATTTATGAGATTTGATATACTGAATTTCCTTAACAATGTCCCTTTAGGTGGATATTCAGGTTGTTTAAATATCTTTTGCCACCACAAATAATATTGCAATAACCATCTATACAGAGATTCCCCATTGATGGTTTTATTTCTATAAAATAGAATCCTCAAAGTGGCATAACTGAACAGTGGAAACATTTATTTCTTTTTTTAATAGATGCTGACTAATAACTTCCCCAAAAGTTGAAGCAATTCACATTTCTACCAACAACAGGGAACAAATAGGCCTGTTCTCTTACAGGTTCAATATCAATAAAAGTTGTTGCTTTTTCAAAAATTGCTAATCTATCTGGAAATTATTCTCACGCAATTTTCCAAGAGATTCCCTACTTTGATGCATGATATTTATCCTTGATTTAAATGGAGCATTGCTAATGGGAAACCAAAAGAATTATTTACATTAAAAAATTTTTTTCTTCTTACGTTAAGGAAGCTCCTTTTAATTTCTAATTTACTAAGAGGTTGTTTTAAAATCACAAACAGGTATCAAACTTTATCAAATTTTTTTTACTGAGTTAATAATGGAAGTTTTTCTTTAAATGAATCAAGTTACTGTCTAGAAATAATGAACACTGACCCCGGCCTCATTCTATATGCAAAAAATAATTTGATTTGAATCACAGCCCTAAATATAAAAGCTAAAACCACAAGGAATCTAGAAAAATTATAAAGGATATCTTTGTCCTATAATATCTTCATAGGGAGGACACAAAAATACTAATCCTAACAGAAAAAAAAAATGGTACCTTGGACTACATAAAAATGTAAAGCTTTTTTTCCAGCTTTCTTGAGATAAAAATGACATACGACATTGTGTAAGCTTAAAGTGTAAATGTTATGACACACATATATATTATTATAACATGTTTTTTATAATAAAGTTAATACATCCTTCGCCTCATATAATTACCAGACTGTGGCTGTTGTTGTGGTGAGAACATTAAAGCTCTACTCTCATAGCCAACAGCAAGAATACAACACAGTATTGTTAACTACAGTCACCATGCTGTTCATTCTATTTCTGGAACTTAGTCATCTTATAACTAGAACTTTGTACCCTTGGACAAACGTCTCCACATTTCCCTCATGTCTCACCCTTGGCAACTATCATTCTACTCTGTGTTTCTATGAGTTCAGTGTTTTTCGGTCCATACATGAGATCATACAGTATTTGTCTTTCTCTGTCTGACTTTTTCCACTGAGCATAATGTCCTCAAGCCTCATCAATAGTCTCAAATGACAAGATTTCCTTCTTTTTTATGGCTGAATATGTCCCATTGTGTATGTAGATATGTATATATATCTCACATTTTCTTCATCCATTCATCCATTGGTGGACACTTGGTTTGTTTCCAAGTCTTGGCTATTGTAAACAATGCTGCAATGAACATGACAGGGTATCTCTTCAAGATAGTGATTTCATTTCCTTTGGCTATATACCCAGAGGTGGGATTGTTGGGTCATACGGTAGTTCTATTTTTAATTTTTTGAGGAACCTCCATATATTTTCCATTGTGGCTGTACTAATTTATATTCCCACCAACAGGGCACTGGGATCCTCACCTCATCAGCATTTGTTATCTCTGGGCTTTTCAATACTAGCCATTCTAACAGGTGTGAGCAGTATCTCTCTGTGGTTTTGACTTGCATTTCCCTGAGGATTAGTGATGTTGGGCACCTTTTCATGTACCTTTTGGCCTGTGTATGTCCTCTTTGGAAAAACGTCTATTCAAGTCTTCTACCATTTTTTAATTGGATTATTTGTTTTTTTGCTAATGAGTTGTATGTGTTCCCTATATTTTGGGTGTTAATCCTTTATCAGATATATGATTTGCAAATCTTTTCTCCCATTGCATATGTTGCCTTTCCATTTTCTTGTTTCTTTTGTGCGGAGGTTTTGTTTGGTGTAGTTCCACTTGGTTTTTTTCTTTGTTGCTTGTGCTTTAGGTGTCACATCCAAAAAACCATTGCCAAGACCAGTGTATAGCTACTTTTCCCCTAGGAGTTTTATGGTTTCAGGTCTTATGTTTAAGTCCTTGATTCACTCAGAGTTAATTTTTCATTAGCGGTATAAGATGGGGGTTGAATTCGATTCTTTTTGCATGTGGATAGCCAGTTTCTCCCAACACCACTTCTTGAATAGACTTTTCTTTTCCCACTGACTATTCTTGGTTCCCTTGTCAAATATTAGGTGATCATATATGCATGAGTTTATTTCTGGGCTCTCTATTTAGTTTTCCTGTCCACTGGTCTGCCTATTTTTATACCAGATTACTATAGCTTTCTAATACAGCTTGAAATCAGGAAGTGTGATGCCTCCAGCTTTGTTCTTCCTGCTCAAAAATTTCTTTGGCTACTCAGGGTCTTTTGTGATTCTATATGAATTTTAGCATTGTTTATTCATGTGAAAAATGACATTGGATTTTTTATAGGGACTACAGTGAATCTGTAGATTGCTTTGGGTAGTGTGGACATTTGCAAAATATTAATTCTTCTGATCCATGAACATGGGATATCTTTCCACTTATCTGTGTCCTCTTCAATTTCTTTCATCAGTGCCCTACAGTTTTTGATGTATAGATCTTTCACTTACTTGGTTAAATTTATTCCTAAGTATATTGTTTTTGATGTTATTGTAAATGGTATTGCTTTCTTTATTTCTTCTTCAGATAGTTCATTGCTAGTGTACAAATACAACTGACTATCTTGATTTTGTATCCTTAAACTTAACTGAATTTGTTTGTTAGATCAACAGTTTTTTGGTGGAGTTGTTTGGATTTTCTATATATGAAATCATTCATCAGCAAACAGATATATTTACTTCTTCCCTTCCAATTTGGATGACTTTTATTTCTTTTTTTTATCTAAACACTCTGGCTGGAATGTTCAGTACTATGATCAATGAAAGTGGTAAGAGTGGGAACACTTGTTTTGTCCCCTATTTTAGAGGAAAAGCCTTCAAACTTCCACAGTTTGAGTATGACGTTAGCTGTGGACTTGTCATATTTGGCCCTTTATACTTAACTTATTGAGAGATTTTATGGTAAAAAGATGCTGGATTTTGTTAAAT